TCTTCCGATCTTTCCTTCTTATTATTATCAATTTTGTATTAAAGAATAATTTTACAAAGGAAAGAAACATATATGGACATATTTTGCATATAATTATATATGTAACTTTTTTTCCCGGGAAGCCGTATATAATGTCCATTTCTACCAATGTAGATTAACTTTAATCACGGTTTTATTTACTTTTTATCCTGTTCTAGTTCTTAAAACTAGAAAAAAGATACAAAGTTAAACCTGGATTAAAGTTAATCTAACGTTGGTAGAAGACATAATAAGACATAATTTAAGAAAGGCTGCGCAACGAAATTGACAATCATTAAGCATTTGAGAATCCCGGTACATACAGAAGGTACCGGTCGGTACATGAAAACCAAGTATAATATGAAAGGCTCATGCGCCCCATGCGGACGAGCCGATTAACGCCAATATGGCGCGGCCCGATGCGCGCAGCCCGCTCCCGAAGTCGTTGGTTCCGACCGTGGGCGAGACTGTCGCTGCTCGATAAGCCGGGCGTGAACGCGCAGGAAACGGCCAAGCACGAGAGTCCGAGATGTCGAGGAACGACGGCAGGAAGGACACCTCGGCGTCCGCGTTCCGCAAGATCGACGTGGACCAGTACAGCGACAACAATTTCAAAGAGGAGGACGCGGACGGCGGCGTAGGTGCGCCCACCGGTCCGGACGAGAACGAGATTTTGACACTTCTTAGCCAATATCCTTTTTTTCTGCTCCAGCGCTCCGTAGAGCCTTTACTTTTTCAGCGAAATTTCGTCGTGCGATTTTTCCTTAACGCCGTTCATCAAGGGTAAGAACGCGGAGGCGCTAATATCGGTGTTAAAATCCGCGCCGTTGGAGTGCAAAAATCAGCAAGTGAAGGTAACCTCAAAATACGGTGATTCACCTCTTGTCGCACTATCGCGAAGGGATTTGTTAAATACGGAGTGACGTCATGGATATGAAAGATGTTTAAACGATTTGCCGAAAGTAGTCGATATTCTAGAGTAAATGGATTTAAATTTTACGACTGAGAATTTAGCGTATTTTATCGAGGTTCATAATCGACGTTGTATCATTTCATGAAAATTGCTTCGCAATTTATCTGTTTTTTATATTTATCTTATGATTATGATGACGTACGATTCTAGGAAGACTATTTGCAGTTATGAGTTTTAAAAAAAATTATGTATAAATGATGGAAAAATACTTTACGTAAAATTTAATTGGTTCGGCATGTTCCAAACGTCATTTCGTTTGGGATTACGTGTATTTTACTGTTGGATATTAATGGAAATATAAATTTCCATATACGCAGATATATAAAAAACACACTTCTTCCTGTTTGCAGGACAGTGCACGGAACTTGACACAGAAGGTGCTCCTAAGTATAAAATCGAATCAAATGGACGATTGCTTAGCGCAACTAGATCGTGACCTAGTAGATGTTCTAATGAAATATATTTACCGAGGTTTTGAAATCCCAACGGAGGGTAGCAGTAGTCACTTGTTACTTTGGCATGAAAAGGTATTTAATGTAAGCGGTGTCGGCTGCATCGTTCGTGTATTCGCCGACAGTAAGCGGGCTTGAAGTTTTGTAAATTTCGCAGTAACACGTTCATTATGATAATTACCATTAATTCTTACTGTTATGTCATCGTCATTGTTAGTGCGATGAGGATGTAGATAGGCAAGCCATTCACAATTTTCCATATGGGAAATACAACAAATTTGTGTACATTTGTTATCAATAAAGTAATTTTTATTTCTTGTACATTTTTCCCTTGTAATTCCTCTCACCGTACTTCCGTCGCTCTACCCTTATTTCATTCTAAAGAGTATAAACAGATGGTTTCATGAAAATTAATTAAATAAGAAAAATACCATTTCCAACTGCATTTTTCGTCGTTTTAAACCTGAATATTATTATAAATAAGTTTCAATGTTAGTCCAGAGTGTTTTATTAAAATTTTATACTCTTTAGAGTTCCGAGAGGATAAAAGGAAATATACACGATATATTATTTTCATATAACAACAAGATCGTTTTTTTTTATCTGAACATTTCTTGTATACGCTACTATTGACCATTACAATAAGAATTGACGATTAATATGATGCTTGAATTGGCACAAAATAAAATTAGTATAAATATATAATTTGTGGAATAATATACCCCAACATCTTTATTATTTTATATATCTATATATATCTATATATATAACAAAAACTATAGTGCAACCGATTAACGGCAACATAATGATATTAAATCCTCTATACCGGATATTTAGATTTCTATCATTGCTTGTATAATAGAATATATGTGAGATTAGAATGTTATGCAGATTGTAATATTTACGGTTTAGCTGACTCTCGGTGTATTATCACATACAACACTGGAAATTTATTGTGAAAGTGTTTACTCACATTTGTCCTTTACTGTGAGCATAATCATATTTGTTTGATGTATCAGGTACAGTGCACTCACAAATACTGCGTTTGCTCTGTAAGAAGTATATATTTCATTAGTCAATAATACAAATGAGATATATCTTTAATTTTTGACCGCGTTATTAGTTTCGTCTCGATTGGCCATTCCGACGGTCTACGTATGTACTTACTGTCCTTCCTTGAAGTACTCCTTTAACGTGTTGCTGAACCTTTTACTGTATTTCACAAATTCTCTCTTGCGTTGATCTAAGGCCTGTTTGCCAGCTGAACCGGGTATAAATGCAGTAACTTCGTTCACGGCGTCTAAAAGTTTCTTTATTGCGCTCGCAATTTCTCTGAAAGAAAATTATAGTTGATAGAGATGCAAGATATATTCCATATACAAAGATCATAGATATGATTATACAAACTTGATTGTCTCTAAAAAAGTCTTCCTGTCTGTGATCTCATCGGGAATTCTGCTAAGTATTCTCTTCAAAGAGGTCGATTTACGATTCAGTTCTTGAAATGCGTCTTCCGAACGTGCAGAGCGATACTCCACAACTGCAACAAACAGGCAAAATGTATCGGCTTGTCTCAAATCTTATACTAAATGACTCAGATGTCGACAGATTAATCGGATGTAGAGACTAGAGAGTAGAGTGCAACGATGGTTGGCATGGTAATGTGAAAATAATTTCTATACAAGGATATCTTACCATCGTAATCAGAAGCAGCGCCTTGCAACCGCAAGACACTCTCGTTCATATCAAGATTCAGCTCTGCTCTGCGTATTATACCCATAATTAAGTCGTACGTGATCCCAGGGTGCGAACTCTCGGCCTTCGAGAGAGCCGCGCGTAGAGTCTGCGCCGCCATAACATTTTGCCTTTCCAGCTGCAAGAATTCGACATGTATTCAACATATTAACCGACAGAGACATCCTTGACGAAGAAGTCCTTTCTCGAAAATATTGAGCCCAATACGAGATGTAACGTGCACTCCAATTTTTTTCACTTGTCTGTTCATTCTTCTACATTTACCGACAAAGGACTATTCACTACCGATGCAAAACGTTGGAAGACGCGGACGGAAATATTATTTATGGAAAAAGAGACGATTGACGTTCTGGAGGGGGATAGATTCGGATGATTTACCTTGGTTAATATTGGCCTTAATATGACGGGAAGAACCAGTGATGTAACCGGGGTCTCATCGCCCATTGTCATCCTTCACCGTGTATGTGTTGTCGTTCGAGACGTCGAGAATTAAAACGGGTTCGGTCGCGAGTTCGGGGACGAGGCGCAGAGTCGAGCGCTGCTACTGCTTTCGCGGGACGTTCGCGGCGACAGGGTTGTATACACGCGACTGGCACAATCACGGCCCAACCAGCATAACTCCTACCTCTAGGACAGCTGTCACAACTCACAAAGTCACAATAGGCGCTTAGACACGCGGAAACGAGGTTACCCGGCGCTGCCAACATTACCCCCGAACGAGTCGAAAGTCGTCGCGCGGCGCGGCCTCGCGCCGTCATTGGTCACCGCGGCAAATAGGCTCGCTCACAGCCCGTATGTATGATTACTTTTTGTACCTTTCATCCTTCTTTCTCTTCCCGGTGTCTAACGGTGTCTAATCGTCTCGTTTTAACTGCGACTTCGATTATTGACTAATTGACAATTAGGGTAACTATCCCTGTTAATGTGCCTGTCCCTATATTAGTGTGCTTTCATATTTAAATAAGTCATAAAAATAAACTGGTACAATAATAGACAAAGTATTTTTTTTTTATTAAGTTAAAGTATTAACTTAATGAAAAAAAAACTTTTTCTATTTGTACCGCAGTTTATTTTATTTTGAACATTTTTTACAAAGTTTTTTTTTTTATTAAGTTAAAGTATTAACTTAATAAAAAAAAAACTTTTTCTACTTATACCCGTTTATTTTTATGACTTATTTAAATATAAAAGCGCACTAATAGGGATAATTACCGTATATTTCACCGTCAGAATTGTTCAAAATAAAATTTCTAGCTATATTTTTTTATACGTTATAAGCAACTATAGAAATTATTAATTGAGTTAATAAAATAATTAGATACTGCGTGATAATTTTAAATTAATCGGAGTTTAATTAATTGAAATTTAATTAATCAAAGTCATTTTAAATATGGAAAATGTATTGTAACGACGAGGAAGAAATTTACTGGATCTGCATTTTTCGCAACCGCGTCTGTCCGCGATATTTTCCGTACGTCTTTCTCTCATCGAAACGCAAATAACTTCCAATAATTTAAGCTTGTGCCATTTTAAGCGTGGAAAAAACGCGAAAGACGCAAGTTAAGCTGACAGATCCAAATGTTACTTCCGTATCGGTGAAATCTGCGTGACACATAACTCGCGCTCTCGCGAAAGGTCACTTGCACTCGTTCTAAATTAATTCACATTGGCGAAATCCTTTTGCAGCTATGAGGCCACGGATACTTAGAAACGAGACTCTTTTAGTCGATTAGTCGCGCTACTGTTTCTTTAACGAGTATCATTCTGATACTCCTTTTGCTCTATATATCGGTTCCTTTCGCACGATTTCTCTCTCGGACAATTGACAACGAGATTCGTAATGCGAATAATTGCTGACGGAGAAAGAGAAGGTACACTCTCTTTCTGGCAGTTCAATTCTATTTTCCAAATCTCTACACGAAGGTCGCGACTCGAAGGGAAGCAAATGAGATACCTAGATATTTATTTATGCTGTATGAATTTTGAATATCGCAGCTATATCATATTAATTAAACCGACGGTAATCAAATTCCAATTAGTTTCACGTCGGCGATTAATTAATCACTCAACAAAATATTACTTACAACAAAAGTTTCTAGTTAATATAATTCGTCATGTTTATTATATACAATAATCTGATGTTTAATCCATTTTTTCAGATTTCAAATTTTACAAAAAATCAATAATTCTATTTAACTAATAATTCTATCCAATTAATAATTCTATTCAGTTAACAAAACATTGTCGACGTTGTTTGATAAGCTGATCAAAGTTAATATTTTATTTCTCGTATTACGTACGCTCTTCAAATGTTACTGATTGATTATTGGCGAGAAAAATTTTCATCTCTAAAAATTTTCTATTCTGCAGCCAATCAGAAAATTTCGTCGCCAAATGAATTAATAATTTAAATTACTCTAACAATTATTAGTTGGTCATGATCTTTTTAGTCCCAATGCGATGCGGACAAGAATCGCGATGCGAAGGTACGCGAGGCACGTTCAATCAAGCAAATTAAATAGAGATAAAAAGAAGCCGAGCTGATACCAGCGCGATATGATAAAGCATGTGATAAGAATGCGACTGAAAATTCTGTAAGCATCTAATTCGCGTTTTCATTCGTTCAATGCACGAATTTGCTTGCTGTAATCGTCAACTATGTATACTCTGCATGCGAATTCAATTAGTTACGCTACGATAGACATTTGTATAGATGCGGACGTAGATTATCTTATTTTTATAATTTTGCGCACGCATTGCGCTCAGGGAGAACGTATGCGACAGTATAAGGTAATTGCTTCGAATTTTCAGGGCATTTCGCGCCGCCTCGGCGCCAACTTCACTACGTTGACCGAGCGCGCGCGCCATCTGGCACCGACGCGACGCGACTTCACGCGACGCAACGCTGCCGCCGCCATGTTACAATTCGAGTCTCACGGGCGCGCAACGCTACCGGTGCGATCGCGTAAGTTTTGTCCGTTTTGTCGCAGCTCCGAGTCGAGTTTCGGCGGCGTGGAAATGCCGACACGCGTGCGGACGCCGCGAGGTGAGTTGTCGCGAGAGGCGAAGAAATCGAGTCGAAAGTTTCCGCGGAAATCGCGACGCGCTCCGTTCGGCGCGAGAAACCGCGATTCGCCGGGTCGCACTGCACGCTTCAGGACGCGCGTTCGCGTCGCGACGATTCGGGACGAGGAAGGAGAGAGGCTACTTGTGGACATCGGATGCAGAATCCACGACGACGAATCCAACAACCGCCGTTGGATATCAACCAGCACTGGACTGGACGCCGAAAATCCTGTTTGCAGCGACGAGCGACGAAAGGTATGTGGGTGCGAAATGTTAATGGTCAATATTTTTCCTGCCCGGCGAAAAGATTTTGCTGTAAATGAAAAAAGCAGCGACACATTTGTGAGAATAATTTTTATAATATTCGACAAACGGAATTTTAAAGTTAAATAAAATTGTTTAGCAACATAAAATAATCTTGTACGTATAGTTGTCAATTTTTTATTTTTAAGAATTTTGTCAGATATATATATATATAATAAAAAATTTTCTAGTTAGAAAATAACACAGTAAAGGCTTTCGCAAAATTAATTAATTAATTAGAATATTTTTTAATTAAATAGAATTGCGCAAGGAATCAATATTACTGAAAACGAATTTTGTACTGCATATAAATGATCGTAAGTAACGCAGTCGCCTTTTACGTGAGGAAAGAAATTTTATTGGTAACGCATAGGGACGTCCAAATATATATAAACAGCGTGTATAAAAGTATAAAAAATAAATATTAACGGCGCACACGCGCGCCGTTATTTCGTGAGTCTTATGGATGTAACGAGTCGAGGTCGCGACGCGATGTCGACCACGCTATCGGGAATGCATTTGCGAGCACAGTTAAGTGTACAGGCTACGATAGTAACAGTAATAATATAATTTTAACAGTAGCAACAGGGAAAATATAGGCGAATTGTTCACTTTGAAAAAGATAACACGCTGCTGAGACCGCTTTTACGATCTACTTGTATTATCCTATTCAGTTGTTGTTACGTGTGAGAATCACAGTATTTATAAACTTCTTGTTTACAACCTTCCGACGTATTTATTAAAAACATGCGAACTGTAGGAAAGGCGATTTCCTCGGATTTAATTGCAGATCGCAGGTCGAGATTGTATTATTGCGAAGTATTACTTCTAATTTTTTTTTTAGGGTAGGGGGCACGTAGCACACTTTCTCCAAAGCAGTCGGATTCAATCCGTAATAGCCGTGATAATCGTGATTAGTTACTCCGCTAATCGTATAATTGACGTTGCATCAAAGTTATACTAATTCGCTATTGATTAATTAAAAGAATTCTAACACACACCTCTCTCACACATACATATACTTATATTTACTAACTGTATCCCGTGAAAGTTCTCTACGTTCGAAAGACTAAACTGGAAGATCTGTAGCAGATATTGCATATTGTTTAGAATTTACCGTTTACTCGCTGAATTAGGCCTCATTCTATTTTCAAGGTGATATAAACGGTGATATTTCGATTTTTATACATGTATATATTATTGCAGTTTTGTAAATGCAAAACTCACTACGACAGTCGCTCTCTACTGATCCTGAGAAAAAGTTTCTATTTTTTTTTCTTTTTTTTCCTTTTTATTATAAGCATAATGGAATATTATCTTGTCTATACAACGAACTCCGTCGTCGGAACGAGATTTCGTTACACGCGTCTGTTAGTCGCGTTTATCTCGATATCATACTGGCGTAAACGTGACACGATCAATTTGACTTGAATTCAAATTCTCTTCTAGTTCCCCGGAGGATTTACATGGCACATTCGATCGGGTTTCGTTTCGCCGAGGATTCGTTATAAATGGAATCACGCCGATACTCACGCCGACGTTTCGCGTGCTGCTGAATCCGATTTCGCGCCAGAAGCGTGTTTTCTGACGACGAGGAGTCGCGCGACAGCTCCGTCCGTGAATACGATGTTAATTAACGTGTAATTGATCTTCCCCGCGGTTCTCGCGCTGCTCACGCGAGGATCTCTCTCTCTCTCTCTCTCTCTCTCTGTCTCTGTCTTTGTTCTTATCGCTTAAATTGCACTCGCGTTGTAGTTGCTCCGCGGCAAACACTCGCTCTCTATTATCTTAAATTATTTTCGCGGCCTCGTTCGCGGGGAGACACTTCTCATGGCAGTCGATTTGTAATCTACACTAATCGTCCTTAATTGACGGAGTCGATAGGCGATTGGAGCCAATCGCATGCGATGATATCACGTGTAAAGTTCTCTTAATTCTCTTAATATGTAATGCCACATCTCACACGAATTCGCCAATGACGATATCATCGAGTGTGACGAGGAATAAAACGGAAATTTCTCAAAGTCATTGTGTATGTGTGTGCGCGCGCACGTGTATGTGTGTACATAGTAGATTTATCGATGCTTATCTTTTTACAGACGCAATATTTCTAAAGTATACAATAAAAAAGAAACTTCGATTACTGTGGTTAACTGTTCCGTCTCGGAATGGCAGTGATTGACTCTGAATCGTGTTTTTATTCCGTTTACATATATATTCTGAAACGTGTCTTCACACGGTCTGCCATTAATTTCGCCTATCAACTACATCCCTTTAACATCACACGTACAAAACGATTAACGTTTCCACAAACGCATTGATGATTAAATCATCGCCGTGTACAATTCGATTCGCTACTTTCTGCAGGCCGATAAAATTAATTATTGCTTTGCAATTAAACAACGTGTTTTCAAGTTCATATTATTCATCAGTTCAAGGAATTCACAAATGTATTTTCTTTTAAGAACTATTCCCTACTTTTCAACTTTTTATAACATGTCTCGGACAATATTCGAGTTGTCGACTTTTCTCACACACACGCACGCACACACATCACACTGCACACATATATTATCTAAGTGTCGTCACAATATATTACCGTTGTAATAAATTTCTCCACACAAATATTGACTTAGATCTTTTTAGTATCGTTTGTCATCGTTCTTTCCTCGATCGTTGTTTCCAGGAAAATGTTGATAATAATTTCTTCTGGTCGTAGAATCTTACGTAAAATCGTGAAAAATTGACTGAATTTCCCGGAAAAACATAAAAAAAATTCTATCTAAAATTATATCGACATAATTTTCCCTGTCATCATGATCTTTCTTGAGATCAACGTGTACGATGACGAGATTTCTCGTATACAATTGCTTCTCAGAATTCGGTGTATCCCGTCACCTTTCAGTGGAAATACAAAAAACGGCTTGTTTGATTCGGAATGACATCGATGCCTTGACTAATGCTCGTCATCATTGCCATTGGCATCGAGTGAGTTAATTCCTCAGCTATAACGAAGACACATATAGGTATATAATCACTTCTGTCATTATACTTGTACGATTGCGACGACGGCGTCTAGAACAGCCGGGCTTCTTTCTCGTGCGGTCCTCTTCAACGTCGAACTTGTCGGCAAGTTTAATGAAGGGTTCGCGAGATCGCTTCTCCGCGATCGATTGCCAATCGTCATCACTGTCGAGTCGGGCACGGTGATCCTCGTCAGGAGGATGAGCCTTTCCAAGGTCTCCTACGCTGGCGCCTGCACCATCGGCCTGTGGATCGGCACCGAAATCACGTAGATGTCCAGCTTCTCGCCAGACGTCTTGTCGACGATCTCGCCGTAGTTGACGGAATCGTAAGAAGGCGGGGCGAACAGGTGATAAGGCGGCGGCGGGGTCTCCGTGACACCGGTTGTGTTTATCGTCTCGGCGCGTTGCGCGTAGGGCACTGCCAGAGGTCGACCGCCCCGTCGGCAGCACCACTCGGAGCAGCTGACGATGAGGAAAAACGCCACCAGGCCGCCAAACGAGCCGATGTACCAGACTATCGACCACGGGTCCAGTGGGTTCTGCAGGTCGCCGTTGACTACAACAAAATGGGGACCTATGAGCGAGGAGCTCGTTAATAATGAAATTGTTAGACAATGTCTTGATTACTACGCTCATGCGTCATGCGTCTAAAAGTCACGGGGATGCAGTCAGAATTCATTGGCATTCGTGTAACGGGTATCATAAAAATGATATATTTATGCGAGAATTAAAAGACAAAAATTGAGAAACTCTCTCTACACGTGAATATTCGAGGATTTAAAGATTATTGAAACGCTTAGAGGAACAGAAATTTTACGATGGAATCGCGAGAAGATATTTTTGACATAATGTTCGGGTGAAATCAAAGCGGCAAGAAATATATTTGAGTTGCGAAAGATGTAAACAACCGCTTTTTCACTTGCGATTCACGTTACTCTTTCGTTGTCTGCTTTAAGATGCCATTCCTCGATAGAAATACGAGACGATGAGCGTCGCATCTAAAATTAGCTTGATGTTTCGTTCTGCTAAAATATTGGTGGAACATCAAGAATAATATTATCTATTTTTCCAATTTACATATTAGATTTGCAAATATTGTTTGCCATATGTGCAGCGTGTTTTTGCTACTCTATATGCATCGAAGAAACCGATAGGTAGGAATTATATAAAAAGTTGATTTCATGTTTTGAGCGACAGAATCAGATGCATATTTTGCATTCTCGATATTCTTGGCTATCTTGTGACATGAATGTCCCGTGGAAAGTTTTGTAATAATATAACATAATATAATATAATATAACTACATCCTTTTTAGCGATCGATGACGCGCGATAATCTAATCGGTGTATGCGCGAAACGCATCCTCTCGATTGCTATTAATGCATGATGTGTTACAATGCGAACTCAGAAAAGTGATGCAAATGAATGATGGAAGTGCTACAGATTTGCATAAATCCTTGGCGCGTGCGGAATGAATTGTTCTCTGCAGGTATGTGATTTTAACGGGATGCGCGCGAACATGAGAGTTCATTTCAAATCTCGTTTTATCACCTTATCCAACTAAGAAATATATAAGATCGATTATAGTATAATACAACTGCAATAGCACACACGCCATTTTTATTTATGAATTTAATATTACTATAATATTTAATATAATTATAATATTACTATTTTGAATATTATTGCCGTGATCATAGTCACTTTACTATTATCTTAATCAATCTATAGTTAACGTGACATGGCTATAAACGTTCGAAAAATGATAAGATTTTCTCTTATTCTTTATATCTTTTATTATTATTACATTATCAATTCAGTTTCGCCAAAATTACTACATTACCAAATCAGTTTCAACTACCAAACATTTTATCTTACTGACATTTTGTAGTTCCGATTAATGAAATCATATCCCTCGATGTCGTTCGTACGGAGAATTAAATTAGCGCCGAGTTCGTAAAAACGAAATGTTATGTCGCGCTTCACGGCAGATAAACTTGGATTTGACAATTTGTCACAGGGAAATATTACAGAGGTCAGGAATGCAGCGCGATACTGACGGAGCAAAGTAACATTTTGCAGTGATAATTTTCGTTATCGCCGACGTGCGTAAATATATTCAGCGAAACACCCGCCGAAGGTCGCGACTCGAATGAGTAATTATGCTGTTCTTTTAGTGATTTTTAACCTTCGCGCAAGCTTGATATTAAATGCAAAAATACAGAACGGATATGAAAAGGAATATATCGGTTTTTTTTTATGCGTTCGGCATCGAAATATGTATCGAAAATATTACATTCGAAACGAGACGCACGTAAGCGTGATCTCGAATTGCGCCGGGAAATACGCGATGATCTGTGGCGTGACACGGCGGATGGCGCGCGATACTATTGCTATGAAGTCACTCTCGTGCACTAGTAAACATGATTCATGTTCTTACCGCTCTCTTCCGTGTCCCTTTCTTTCTCCGCGCTCTCCTCCTTCCCCTCGAATGCAATCACGTAGACCGTCCCGCCGTCGGCGTCGGCGTCGTCGTCGTTGGATTTTGAGTCGACCGAGTGACGATTGTCGTTCGTGCCGTGAGTCGCTTTATTGCTCTCCATTCGCCTCTCAGCACCGAGGCTGTAACTCGACACCGCGTGAGCTACGACAAATTGCGATCACTTAATTAATTGCACTTAACTTTATGCGCATAAATGCATATGTTAGTCTTTCTCAATTAACCTTTTTTCGTTTTTTATTATACAAATACTTATATTTATTAATGCACTTAATTATATGTATATAATTATATCGCTATTTTCACTACTTGATTTAGATCTAGAACGTCTAGAAATAATTATTGTGTCAAGTAATGCGGAAATAGTAATATGATTCTACATGCAATTAGATACATTAAAAAATATATTTGTAATAATTATATTTTAATGAGTTAAAATATGATTATTACAATCCGAGATATTAAAACATTAACATTTTATTTAAATTACGAATCTATTAATGATTACCTCCTTTCTTTATCTCTTTCTTTCCTTATACATGGAAAGAACAATTTTGTTGAAAGGTCTAAAAATTTTGTTAAAAACAGATCTGAAAATAATTTTTTATTGAATCATCAAAATAATTTATTGGAATGTTAAACCTGATAAGTATTGCTATAAAACGTTTTGATATTTTAGAAATCATTTTGACTTTCATACAAAATAATTTTGATTATTGAACAAAAATTATTTTCAGATCTGGATTCAGCAAAATTGTTCTTTGATTCTTTCCGTGTAGTTTCTTTTTCTTCTTCTTTTTACAAGAAATTTTCGAGTGTCAAAACGCGGTACAGGTATTTACCATTATCTAGCACACCGCATTTCCAAGTAAGATGCAACCGCGCGTATATTATTATGTCGTGCAAAATCTCAGGGTTAAAGATGCTAACACCGAACAAACAACTCCGCCTGTCGCTCGTTAACCTGCATCGAGGTACTTCACGTGCCGTTTGTTACGAGGCGTAGGCCGTGAAGTCGATGCCACGTCGAAGACGATGCACGACGCCGTCGACGGCGGCGGCTTCGATTGCGTCGCCGCGGTCGCCGCCGGCGCCAGTCTTGCTCCGTCTTGTTAGCGAATGCGTATCTTTTATCGCGGAATGCGAATGATAGCGGGAGAAACTGACTCGCGAGGAAACAGACGTACCTTGGTAATTAACGAGTCACCCGCCGATGTCGAGCGCTGCCTATATATTGCTCGAAAAGCAGTTGTCTCGGAGTAACGAACATTACGTTGGCGATTTTGCAGACACGAGAACTTCCTCCCCAGCAAGTTACCTTAAATGTCAGCCCGAGAGACGTACAGTTTGATGATCGAACAAATCCAATTGGTATAATAAAGATCTTCAATCTCCAAGCAATCTCCCAAATGGTCCCTCCTCTTAAGTAACGAGATTAGTACGGCTAGCATGTTCGAGAGCTATTTCTGCCTATCGCGGGATTAATAGTTAACTTCGCTCGGCAAGTTAAATCCATTCTTGGGGAGTCATGGTAGTATTAACTATCGTGAAGTAGTTTCAATTATGAACGGCCCGAAAGAGAAGTTTCGCGAGCTTATAAAAGTCGACGATTGCGCGTTACAAACATTAAACTTTTATCCTATGTATAACAGCACTCTCTTTGACATACAAGAAAGTAAACTGTGAATTAAAAAAAAATGATTTAATGAAGCCTTAATAATTTCAGTAACTTGATATTTATGTCAATGGTCAAATATTTTTGTTACCGTTGTCTCTAAATAAATAAATAAATAAAACAGTTTTTCCTCGTTTTTCTTTTGAATCATACATGTGACGAACATTTTATCGCCGCTCTGTGCTATTTTTAGCTCATTGTTAGGCGTTGCAAAGTGGTGAAGCGTAAAATCGATCGAAGCTCGGGCTTTCCTTTTTAAAGAGAAAGAGGAAGAAAAAGAGAGAGGAGAGAAAGATAGAATGCCGATATTGTTACAATTTCTTAAAGCGAGGCGTGGCTGATGTGCCTTTCAGTTCTTCCAGAATCTCATGTCTCTATCCTGACACGATTATCCGCTACTTAGAAACATCGTTGCCCGACCAGGTTTCGCTTCGCTTTATGGACAAAGTTACCTACACGTAAGAACGTGTAACGAACCGCGGTTACAATTAGGGTTGCTTTCGCGCTACGTGCAAATCCAATTTAATGCACTATAATTCGCTATAATTTTCTAATAGACTATGAATATTTTAGCAGCTTGGAGACACGTGATAATTTTATTATACCGAAATTGGAACCTCATTAAAACTAGTATATCAAGTTTATTAGCCATTCATGATTGAAAGAATAAAAAATATCCCATTTTAAATAATTCTTTTCATTAATATAACATATTGGATGTATTAAGAGATAGCGCATTAAATGAAAATTTTACAGTTTTGGTTAACGCTTCTCAGATAGAATTCATCTTTTACATTTACATAAAATTTGACACAGATATTTTCAAAGGCATGGGAGATTATTGATTTATGATGCTGGCAGAGATGATTCTGTGTAAACATGATCGTTTTCCGTCTGATCTGTTGATCCGTAGTCGTCATCGAAGGTCGTGTGTAATTAAAGACGAAGTCACGAAAGAGAGCGAGAAGGATGCAATCGTGACACCGGCCGTACATGTGTGTACAAAGCGATACCCATTATTTCTCGCTAGCACGGAATCTGAGTCGCGGAGTCCACGTTTCCCAGATCACGTACGCTTTTCCGTTAAAGAGAAACGATTACGAAAACGGATTTCTACCGGTTGGTTGAGACACAGTAGGCAATTTAAATCGCGACAGATGAAAATCTCACGATTTTTATAGGGCGCGTGCGGCTGACGTAATGCGCTGGCAATAAGAGCTTATACATATATGAAAGATCCCGAATACTGTCTTTGTTGGCGGTTCACAATCGTCAAGGCGTCGCACGCGCATATGGCAAACGGTATCATTAGCGTCGTTACGATATTATGCGACGGGCGTTGCGTTTACGTAACGGTTCTCTCTCTCTCCCTCTGCCAGTCGCGATTGCGAGTCACGTTCTAAGCGATCGATGTTTCAAATGTTCGAACGCAGTCGGCTACGCCCAAAATGTAAATCTTTCGCCTATGACCAATGACCGGTTGAAGCTCGCAAGGTTACGCGTTACGTATGAACATTTATGACGTGAAGTTATATTCTGGGCACAGACGTTCACTTTGGTCACATCACATACGCTGGAACTCGATCTGTACGTCGGTAGTATCGTCTTTGTCTGCTGAGAGACCGACAATCGCATGATCTTTATCCGCTAATTTCACCGTGATATATACGAAATGCAGCCCGTCCCAAGAAAGACACGCAATCGAAAAGAGACGCTGCGATATCGTTACTTATGTCTGACAAAGTACTTGAAGCTCGTTAACTGCATTTCTGTGTGTATGCTTCTTGTTTTGTTCTTGGCGTCTACACTCTAAATGGAGTTCAAGACCGGTTTCTCACTTAATTGTGCTTATCCTTGAAAATGTCCATCACTAAATGTATATGAAAGATTTTATTTTAGCTAAGACAATATAATGAATTGATATTTCATGTATATATATATATATATATATATATATGACGCTAATGATACCGTTTGCCATATATATAAAATAGAGATAGAGAAAGAGGAAGAGAATAATCACTATAAGCGTCACGTGTTGACATTGCTGCGACATATTTATTCAATTTATTGTATCATTGTTAAGAAGCATCGTATACACTTCACGTCGCTTCGCACTGATAAACTCTTCACGCAAACTTTTGAACTTTGCAACGGAAGTCTGCTTAAAGTCTTCGTTCGAGCATCTCCTCCGTGAAAACGACTCCTTCTGTCGCGCGGATGTTGTTTGTAAAGTTTTACCTGACGCAAGTAGTATACATCGTGGTTACGGAGACATCGGGTTGATCGAAATATTTGCGAAACTCCAGGCAGCAACGAAAATCGAGATAAATCGTCGACGGTAGCAACGAGTAATATTTCATGATTTCTTCCGGATAAGTCTCGCGAAGATTATAGGTATCAAGCATGATAAGAAAAAAAGAACGTTTTACATTGCGGTTTTATTAACTTAAGCGTAAATCACGTATCTTGAGGTATCGCAGAAATTTATTTTCTGTTTAATGATATTATTTATAAGTATCTCCGATTAATTTTTTGCTTCTTTTAAGATTAGGTTCAATCAATATGTGTATGTGTATCTGTGTGCGTATCTGTATATATGTGTATGGTTGACATCCAAATGTTACGTAAATTCGAAGGGTATTAGGCAGAATTCTGAGGGAAATGACATTAATTTATGTTCAGCTCTCTCTCTCTCTCTCTCTCTCTCTCTCTCTCTCTCTCTCTCTC